CGCGGGTCAAATGCCAGGATTAGTCGTTCAGAACTCTGCAGCTCGTGTACTGTCCTGCACCAGGCGTCGCGACCCCATCACTCCCACCCTCGCCCTCACCCTCGCCCTCGCTCGCCTCCACTGGCTCCCCATCCCCCAGAGGATCGGATTCCTCATCCTCACCTACAAGGCCATTCACGGCCTCGCTCCCTCCTACCTCTCCGACCTACTATCCCCCTACCTGCCCGTACCCTCCGTTCCTCCGGCTCCGGTCTGCTCCACATCCCCCGCCCCAACCGCCCGACCATCGGTGGCCTTCAGCCTCTCAGCCCCGAGGCTCTGGAACTCTATCCCCAGTGCCTTCGCCGCTTCCTCCCTTTCCTCCTTCAAGGCCGGTCTCAAGACTTCTCTCTTTGACCTTCAGCCTTCAGCTCCGCTCTCGAATCTCTACCCCCTCCTCCCTCCCTCCCTTCCCTCCCCTCACCCTGACCATTTTCCCCCTCCTCGCTCCCTCCCTTCCTCCCCTCACCCTGACCATTTCCCCCTCCTCGCTCCCTCCCTTCCCTCCCCTCACCCTGACCATTTCCCCCCTCCTCGCTCCCTCCCCTCACCCTGACCATTTCCCCCCAATGCTCGGGTCCCGACCCAACTGTACAGCGCCTTAGGACGTCCTCCCGACGTGAAAGGCGCTCTATAAATGCAATCTTGTTGTTGTTGTAGTGTTGTTTATTATAACGCCCTAATAGAACACCGGAAAAACTAAAAACCACAACGAGACGCAGTTTTACCGCAAAAAAAAGGGCGTTTTCCTGAGGTCCAACAGCAAACTCTCACCTCACCCTCGGGTTTCCTGCCTCACATCACGCCTGTGCTACACACGTCTCTTGCACAGACATCCGTCCGTGTTTAATCGTGGGGTTCAAAACTATGAGGGGCTTCGATAAGAGTAAATAGAGGGAAGCTTGGTAAAAAGAACCAGAGGGGAGACCAGACGAGGACTTGTTACGGTCTGGAACGCACGCGCGCATACACAGACACACACACAGACGCACGCACGCGCACACAGACGCACGCGCACACCGATGCACACACACACACATGCGCACGCAGACACACGCACACACACACGCACACACACAGACGCACGCACCCACAGATGCACACACACACACACAGACACACGCGCACACACAGACGCACGCGCACACAGATGCACACACGCACACACAGACGCACGCACACACACACAGACGCACGCACACACAGACACACACACACACGGACACACGCGCGCACACAGACGCACGCACACACAGATGCACACACACACAGACACACGTGCACACAGACGCACGCGCACACACGCAGACGCCTGAAAGCGTAATGGAAGCCGTTTCGATGATAGCTTAGAAATGGAACTGGACAGGGACTTGAAAAGGAAATAGGTGCCGGGCTTTGGGGTAAGAGCGGGGGTGGGGGGGGGTAGTGGGACGAGTTGGGACATCCCCCCGCTCTTACCCCAACCAGTCCCACTCCCGCCCCCCCCCCACCCTGCGCTCTCCCCCACACCCCTTCAAGTAATTTCCTGTTCGAGTAACTCCTCCCTAACTCCCTTTGGAAAGTTGTCATTGAATCTGTTTCCACCGAAACCCACTGGAACTCTACCCCTCAACCCCCCCCCACCTTCTCTCGCCCCCCCTTCAAGTCCCTTCCTCCTCGACTGTGCCTTCGGCCACTCTCCTCACCCCCCCCCCACACTGCCCTCCACCCCTCCTGAACCCAAAGCCCCTGACTGTCCAGCCTGGGACGTCTTTCCGAGGCTGTTGTTTTTGGACCTCCCCCCCCCCCCCCCCCCACCCCGAGGGTCGTGTAAGGGGAACGTACAAACATTTGCCAGGTGGGAACTCGATCGATCTCCGTCCGGGGATTTTTGTACAGCCACATCTCCTCCGGGTGGATAACTCGCTGAAATGGAGTCAGCGACTCGGAGATCCTGGAGAGAGGAAAAGAAAAACGATCGATAATAATAACAGTAAATAACAATAATAATTATAGTCCTCGCGCTTGACCCGAGACGTCTCAAAGCGCTTCACCCTAAAGCGTAGGTGACTGTGCACTTAGTGGGCGAAACGGGAGGCGCGCGGGTCTGCGCGCGCGTGTCCGTGTGCGGGTCTGTGCACACGCGTGGGTGTGGGTGGGTCTGCGTGTGGGTGGGTCTGCGTGTGTTCCCGTGTCTGCGTGTGTGCGGAGTAAGGAGACGTGCCTCAGGTTTGGCCCCGACCCGACCAGCCCCAGAGGGACAGAGACACAGACAGATTAGGAGAGCCCGTCACCTTGCATCACAAGCTTTAAAGGTATTCGGTGAGATCTTGCGACAGTGACCGTATGAATTCCCTCGTCGATTGTTGTTGAAGCAGACGTCGGGGGCCGGTCGGGCTCCTGTCCGGAACAAATACCCACAAACAACGGGCGTCGGGTCAAATGTGAGGATTATTATTATTATATTATTATTATTACGTTACCATTAGTGTTTTTAAGACGCTTTTTTTGGTCTCGGAGCTGCAAAGTGGTGGTGGGTGGGGGGGGGTGTGAGGGGGAGCAAGAGGGAGGGTAAGGGAGAGCGGGAGGTGGAGGGGAAGAGGGGAAGGAGGAGATGGAGAGGGGGAGAGGGGGAGGGAGGGGGTAGAGGGGGTGATGTTGCTGTTCCTGCCAGGTTCCCCCTCCAATCGACTTCAAGTCCATTCAGCCGCTATGCCCCCGAAACCCTACCGCTCTCCCCCTCCCCCTCTATCCTTCCGCCTTGCCCATTTCCTTCCCCATCCTCAGGAACGCCTTCCTCTTCGACCTTCCCACTTCCCCCTTCCCACCACAACTCGCTCCGTCACTGTCAAGTGCTCTGGGGCGCTACTCTGCGTGTGTGTGTGGGGGTGGGGGTGGGGGTTGGGGTGGGGGGGTGGTGGTGGGGGGTGAACGTTGTGTCGTTGTTACCTGGACCCCACAAAGCCACACACTGCTTCTTGGTGTTCGGACATTCTCCGTTGTAGCAGAAGCCGGTGTTCTTTTGACACGGAGACCCATTCATCCGGTAAGTGTCCTCCGGACACTGACTCGATCTGCCGTCGCACATTTCCAGTAGGTCACAATCATGTTTCTCCGGACGGCACACACTGCCCGGCTCAGAGAACTGCCGGGGAACCGGGGGGAGAGAGAGAGAGAGAGAGACTGAGAGACTGAGAGAGGGAGAAACGGTGAGAATGAGAGTGAGAGAGAGTGAGAGTGAGAGACGGAGTAGTGAGAGAGAGAGAGAGTGAGTGAGTGACTAAGTGACTGAGTGACTGAGAGAGGGAGAAACGGTGAGAATGAGAGTGAGAGAGAGTGAGAGTGAGAGACGGAGTAGTGAGAGAGAGAGAGAGTGAGTGAGTGACTAAGTGACTGAGTGACTGAGAGAGGGAGAAACGGTGAGAATGAGAGTGAGAGAGAGTGAGAGACGGAGTAGTGAGAGAGAGAGAGAGAGAGAGAGTGAGTGAGTGACTAAGTGACTGAGTGACTGAGAGAGGGAGAAACGGTGAGAATGAGAGTGAGAGAGAGTGAGAGTGAGAGACGGAGTAGTGAGAGAGAGAGAGAGTGAGTGAGTGACTAAGTGACTGAGTGACTGAGAGAGGGAGAAACGGTGAGAATGAGAGTGAGAGAGAGTGAGAGTGAGAGACGGAGTAGTGAGAGAGAGAGAGAGAGAGTGAGTGAGTGACTAAGTGACTGAGTGACTGAGTGACTGAGAGAGGGAGAAACGGTGAGAATGAGAGTGAGAGACTGAGAGAGGGAGAAACGGTGAGAATGAGAGTGAGAGAGAGAGTGAGAGTGAGAGACGGAGTAGTGAGAGAGATAGAGAGAGTGAGTGAGAGACTGAGAGAGGGAGAAACGGTGAGAATGAGAGTGAGAGAGAGTGAGAGTGAGAGACGGAGTAGTGAGAGAGAGAGAGAGTGAGTGAGTGACTAAGTGACTGAGTGACTGAGAGAGGGAGAAACGGTGAGAATGAGAGTGAGAGAGAGTGAGAGACGGAGTAGTGAGAGAGAGAGAGAGAGAGAGAGTGAGTGAGTGACTAAGTGACTGAGTGACTGAGAGAGGGAGAAACGGTGAGAATGAGAGTGAGAGAGAGTGAGAGTGAGAGACGGAGTAGTGAGAGAGAGAGAGAGTGAGTGAGTGACTAAGTGACTGAGTGACTGAGAGAGGGAGAAACGGTGAGAATGAGAGTGAGAGAGAGTGAGAGTGAGAGACGGAGTAGTGAGAGAGAGAGAGAGAGAGTGAGTGAGTGACTAAGTGACTGAGTGACTGAGTGACTGAGAGAGGGAGAAACGGTGAGAATGAGAGTGAGAGACTGAGAGAGGGAGAAACGGTGAGAATGAGAGTGAGAGAGAGAGTGAGAGTGAGAGACGGAGTAGTGAGAGAGATAGAGAGAGTGAGTGAGAGACTGAGAGAGGGAGAAACGGTGAGAATGAGAGTGAGAGAGAGTGAGAGTGAGAGACGGAGTAGTGAGAGAGAGAGAGAGTGAGTGAGTGACTAAGTGACTGAGTGACTGAGTGACTGAGAGAGGGAGAAACGGTGAGAATGAGAGTGAGAGACTGAGAGAGGGAGAAACGGTGAGAATGAGAGTGAGAGAGAGAGTGAGAGTGAGAGACGGAGTAGTGAGAGAGAGAGAGAGTGAGTGAGTAAGAAACCTAGAGAGAGTGAGAGACTGAGAGAGGGAGAGAGAGAGAGAGAGCGTGAGAAAAGGAGAGAGAGTGAGAGACTGAGAAAAGGAGAGAGTGAGAGACTGAGAGACTGAGAGTAAGAGAGAGAGAGAGAGAGAAACGGAAAGGGAGAGACATAAAGAGAGAGCCCAGAGAGAGAGAGAAAGGTTCACATTGCTACGCACAGTGCTATTCTGTCGCTCCCTTTCGTGGGGGGGAAGGGGGGGGGGGGGGGGTAAGAGTTACTGCGAAGTGTAGTGACTGTGTGTGGCTTATCGCGTCTTCGAGACGTCTCAAAGCGCTTCACGGGATACAGTGTATAGCGAACTGAATGTGGGCTGAAATTTTATCGGGGTGAGGGGGGGAAGAGGAGAGGGGCAGAGAAGGTGGAGTGGGGAGGGCGAGAGAGAGAGAGAGAGAGAGGGGGGGGGAGAGGAAGTTAGGGGCTGACTACCGGGGTTGAACCGGTTCACTCTGAGACGAATGGGCAAATACCTGTCTATGTTCCTCCTACACCCGCACCACTCTCACCAGTAAAGGCACAAACCGCTTTGGCGTCTGTTCCGCTGCAACAGATCTCTATCAGGTTTTGCTCAATCGTCCGGGAGGGAGAGTTTCGAAATGTTCCTGTTTGTACTTCTGTCTTTAATTAGTATGAATCAAAGGGGCCACATTCTCTTCCAGGGTGCGAAGGGCGGGCGGGCGGGCGGGTGGGGTGGGGTGGGGTGGGGTGGGGGGGAAAGACAACGCGGAGGGCCGAGGGGAGTGCTAATGCCTTCAGCGTCGATAAGAATCCACCGTATGATAGTCCGCTTTGGCCGAGTTTTAATAATAACAATCACGTCTTCGAGACGTCTCAAAGCGCTTCGCGGGATACGCCGCAAAGTGTAGTGACTGTGCGTTTTGTGGGCGAACCGGGGGTGGTGGGTGGGGTGGGGGTTGGGGGGACGTGGGTTACAATCCAAAGGCAATAAAAAAAACCATCATAATAATTATCATTAGGATTCAACCCCGGGGTTCACGGGATAGTCTCAAATTGCTTCCTTTTTTTTTTGGGCTGTGATGTGCGACGACCGCATTTTTTGTTCAGTGAGCGGTGGATTTTATTGGGGCAGAGAGAGAGGGAGAGAGAGGGAGAGAGAGAGAGAGAGGGAGAGAGAGGGAGAGAGAGAGTGAGTGAGAAACGAGGGAGTGGGGGAGAATCATAGGAACAGGAGGAGGCCATTCAGCCCCTCGAGCCTGTTCCGCCATTCTCTAAGATCAGGGCGGATCTGTGCCTCGACTCCAATTACCCGCCTCTGCCCCCATAGCCCTTGAATACCCCCCGACCTCCCCCCCCACTTCCCCCACAGCCCCGAGTACCATGCACTCATGGCAGCAGTCCCCGTCGGCACACCGAGCGCCCGCGCGCAGCTCACACGTCTCCGCGTTACAGCAGTCGTTCTGACATTCCTGTGGGAGGGGGGAACAGGGGCTCAGAGCAGCATCGGAAAGCTGTGCCGACGCACCGCCCGCGCGCGCGGGTGCGCGTTTTGTTTGCGTCCGTGCGTGCGCGCGCGGCGCGCCCGGGCGCCCGCCCGTGTCGTGTTTGCGGGTGCGCCGTGCGTGTTTTACGTCGGCCGTGTTGTGTTTGCCCGCTCCCGTGTTGGGTGTGTGTGGGCGTGGCGGGGGCTGGCGTACCTCTGGAGTGCCGCAATCGCACTCCTCCCCCCTCTCCACGAAGCGGTTGCCGCAGACGGCTTCGCCGATCACCTCGTGGATGTTGGGGATGTTGCGAATACAGGAGGATGTTCGGGACAACACGAAGCTCTGGAAGTTCTGGTGGCTGCAGGAGCTGAACTTGTCCGGGAACTTTCGGCTGCGGAGGCGATACGCACCGAGTCACACCGCGGCAGCGACGACGACGACGACGACAACATCGACGACAGTCACGACGACAACAACCACCACCACCACCACCACCACGACAACGACACCCACAACATCGACAGCGACGACGACAAGGCCAACAACATCGACAGCAACATCAACAACAGCAGCAGCATCATCGTCGCCAACAGCACCGACGACAACACCAGGAACAACGTCAACGACAACAACGACGCCATCGTCAATAATAATGATGATAATAGTCCTGGAGTTTGATATAGCGCTTGACCACGAGACGTCTCAAAGCGCTTCACAGGATACACTGTAAAGTGAATCGACTGTGTGTTTTGTCCCACAAACAATTATTATTATTAAACATATTATTACATAACAACAACAACAACAACACATGACACTTCCACGGCCCCTCTCAGTCAGGAGTCAGGGATTTGGACCCGAGCCGGGGGTGGGGATCAGGAGGGGTGGAGGGTGGGGAGGGTGAGGGGGTAGGAGGGTGACCGCAGGCGCGGTCGAGGAGGAGATGGGTCTTGAAGGAGGCGAGGGAGGGAGGGAGGGAGGGAGGCGGAGGGACTATGGGATGGAGTTCCAAAGGGTGGGGGCAGAGAGAGACCGAACGTCAACCGCAACATGAAGCATCACCGCACCACAGAGACAGCCTTACCCGATGGAGGGCGCCATGATACAGGCCCCGGCCTGACAGTAGCAGCCCGCCTGGTCGTGGGACATTCCCAGGTTGTGTCCCATCTCGTGAGCGATGGTGGACGCCACCCCAATCACACTCGAGGCATGATCCTGGAACAACAACTGGGGGCTTCAGTCCTCGAGGCCAGAGCGATAGAGATAGAGAGAGAGAGAAAGAAAGATAGAGAGAGAGAGAGAGAGAACGTAGAGAGAGAGAGAGACCAAGTGTCCTCAAGGGCATTGCTCGGTCTCCCCTCACATACGCCAATAACAAGCCTGGCGTCAGGTTACAGCGCATTCACAGCTCACAGAGGGGGCACAGGCGGGGTTTATAATAATAATAATAATAATAATAATTGCATTTGATACAGTCTGTCTGTCTGTGTCTCTGTCTGTCTGTCTCTGTCTGTGTCTCTGTCTGTCTGTCTGTCTGTCTGTCTGTCTGTTTGTCTTTCTCTCTTTCTCTCAGTCTAAGTATCTTTCAGTCTCAGTCTCAGGTCTCTCAGTCTCAGGTCTCTCAGTCTCAGTCTCTCTCAGTCTCAGTCTCTCTCAGTCTCAGTCTCTCTCAGTCTCAGGTCTCTCAGTCTCAGTCTCTCTCAGTCTCAGTCTCTCTCAGTCTCAGTCTCTCTCAGTCTCAGTCTCTCAGTCTCAGACTCTCTCAGTCTCAGTCTCTCTCAGTCTCAGTCTCTCTCAGTCTCAGTCTCTCTCAGTCTCAGTCTCTCTCAGTCTCAGGTCTCTCAGTCACCCTCTCTCTTTCTACTATAGGTTCTTAGAAAGGAAACCAGGGTCTAAAGCCCTATTTCTTAGATAGGAAACCAGGGTCCAAAGTAGAATCCAATTTGGGTGGAGACCAACACCATAACTTGATATCAAACTGTACCAAATTCCAGGAAATATTATTACGCTCCTTTTCCCGTAACGGAGAGAACCCGGGTTCGATTCCCAGGTCAGAACGAAACGTTGGGCAAGTTTCCTTCCTCCACCCACACACACACACACACACACACCCCCACACACACACACACACACACCCCACGCGCCTCTGGTTACCGGCGGTCAGTAGGAACCCGGTTGTTAGTCGATTGGCGGATGGCTTTTCCGGGGGTGATAATCCCATCAAAATTAATAAAAATAATTTGGTCACTCAATCCATGATTGTTTGTGGGGGCGTCGCTGTGTGCAATTGGCCGCCGCGTTTCGCCCACAAAAAGTCACTACACTTTACAGTGTATCCCGCTTTGAGGCGTCTCGAAGACGTGATCAGGCGCTGTGTCAAACGCAATATTATTAATAATGTAATAATACTATAATTATTATTTTGTGGGCGGAACGTGGGTTGAGTCCTCAGTGTCCCGGTCTCGTTCCTTGTTCCTGTCGTTAATTACCCTCTGAAGACACACTCTAATCGTTGTAACCTGTGTTCTTCTCTTCCCCCCTATCCTCCCTCTCTCCTCCCTCTTTCTCTCCCTCTCACCCTCTCTCTCCCCTCCCATCCCCTCTCACACACTCACTCTGTCTCCTCTGCCCTCTCTCACTCCTCTGCCCCCCACTCCCACACTCCCTCTCTCTCTCCCCCTTTCTCTCTGTCGCCTTTCTCTCTCTCCCCCACTCTTCTCCCTCCCCCCACTCTCTCTCACACACACATTTCCCCCCCACTCCCTTTCCTCCTCTCTCTCTCACACACTCCCCCTTTCTCCCTCTCTCTCCCCCCTTCTCCCCCCCCTCTCTCTCTCCCGTATCTCCCCCTCTTCTCCCTCTCACACTCTCTCACTCCCTCTCTCTCCCATACTTTACCCCTCTCTTCCCTTTCCGTCTCACACACCCACTCTCTCGCTCCCCCCAACCCCCCCCCATCTCCTTCTCACACTCTCTCACTCCCCCCCCCCTCTCGCTCTCTCCACAGGGATATAAAGTGTGGACTACTGAGCTGCAAAGGTGGGGATACAAGTCCCTCCTTTGCCACGAGATACGGTTCGATCGGCCCCTGCAAATTAATAATGGGAGCTGACAACACGAACAAAAACCCGGGTCTGGTACAGAACGGGATTAAATGTGGAGAGAACAAGGTAGTGTTTCCATCACGCTCCCCCCAACACCCCACCCACCCCCCGAAAAAATCTCCCCCTCCACCCTGACAATCTCCCTTCCCCCTGAAAACCTTTTCCCTCCCCTGAAAATCTGTTCGTTCCTCCCGATAAAATCTCTCCTCTCCCCCCTAAAAGAAAATCCCCCTCCCGGAAAATCTCTCCTCTCCCCGAAAAATCTCTCCCCCAAACCCATCCAGCGATGGCGCCTTCGGTCACCTCCCGCCTCCTCCAGAGACGTCTCAAAGCGCTTCACAGAATATACATTTTAAGTTGTAGTCACTGGGTAGTTTGCTCAGTTCTTGTCCTCCCCAATAATTATCTACTTGGGTTGGTCAGGGCTATGGGGAGAGAGCGGCGGAGTGGGGTTGATCAGGGCTATGGGGAGAACGCGGGGGGAGTGGGTTGATTAGGGCTATGGGGAGAGCGCGGGGGGGGAGTGGGGTTGATCAGGGCTATGGGGAGAGCGCGGGGGGGGGGGGGTGATTTGAAAGCTCTTTTCAAAGAGCCGTCACAGACACGGAGGGGCCGAATGGCCTCCTTCTGCGCTGCATGATTCTATGCTTCTAAGCGTCCGGGGCCGAAGGGTTAATCTCCGCTCTCGCGAGATGCTGTTGCGCAATTGCCAGCGCCTGATGCCCGGTGACCAAAAATCATTCATCATTCATGTTTGCGAAAAACCATTGCCTTCGTCTGTGACGTCTGCTGAGATTTCCTGTCATTCCGAGTTATTTCCCCTTTTACGGCACAAGTCATTGGGTCCACATCGACCTTTGAAGTGCTTCTTCCTGGAAAGTGCCAAACATGAGCTCGAGCGCTGGGTTTTGAGCAACTTCATGGAATCGTACAATTGTGCAACACAGAAGGAGACCATTCGGCCTATTGTGTCTGTGTCGGCTCTTTGGAAAGAGCTTCCAAATCAACCCCACTCCCCCGCTCTCTCCCCATAGCCCTGATCAACCCCACTCCCCCGTCTCTCCCCATAGCCCTGATCAACCCCACTTCCCCGCGCTCTCCCCATAGCCCTGATCAACCCCACTCCCCCGCTCTCTCCCCATAGCCCTGATCAACCCCACTCCCCCCGCTCTCTCCCCATAGCCCTGATCAACCCCACTCCCCCGCTCTCCCCCATAGCCCTGATCAACCCACTCCCCCGCTCTCTCCCCATAGCCCTGATCAACCCCACTCCCCCGCTCTCTCCCCATAGCCCTGATCAACCCCACTCCCCCCGCGCTCTCCCCATAGCCCTGATCAACCCCACTCCCCCGCTCTCCCCATAGCCCTGATCAACCCCACTCCCCCGCTCTCTCCCCATAGCCCTGATCAACCCCACTCCCCCGCTCTCTCCCATAGCCCTGATCAACCCCACTCCCCCCGCTCTCCCCATAGCCCTGATCAACCCCACTCCCCCCGCTCTCTCCCCATAGCCCTGATCACCCCACTCCCCCCCCCCCCATAGCCCTGATCAACCCCACTCCCCCGCTCTCCCCATAGCCCTGATCAACCCCACTCCCCCGCTCTCTCCCCATAGCCCTGATCAACCCCACTCCCCCGCTCTCTCCCCATAGCCCTGATCAACCCCACTCCCCCCGCGCTCTCCCATAGCCCTGATCAACCCCACTCCCCCGCTCTCCCCATAGCCCTGATCAACCCCACTATCACCCCCATCCTCGCCCATCTCCACTGGCTTATCACACAGAGGATACATTTCAAGATCCTGGTCCTCACCTTTAAGGCCATCCCTGGCCTCGCCCCCTCCTACCTCTCTGACCTGCTGCCTCCTTACCAACCTGCCCGCTCCCTCCGTTCATCGGGCTCCACCTGCTCCATGTCTCCCGCCCGACCCGGCCTACCATCGGTCGCCAAATTTCAGCCTCTCTGCCCCCACACCCTGGAACTCCATCCCTTCGCTTCCTCCCTTATCTCCTTCAAAACCGGTCTCAAGACCTTTCTCTTCGACCGTGCCTTTGGTCTCCCTCCCACCTCTCTGCCTTCCCTCACCCCTACAGCACCCCTCCCCCATGCTCGGGCCCCGACATTTGACTGTTTAGCGCTTTGGGACGTCCTCCCGACGTGAAAGGCGCTCTACAAATTAATTTTGTGGTTCTTGCTGTTCAAAGCCCTCCATCGTCTTGCTCCCCCCTATCTCTGCACCTCATAACCCCCTACCATCCTGCTCGCTCCCTCCGCTTAGTGGGCTCCGGCCTGCTTCACGTCCCCCCGCCTCGCCCGCCCCACCATTGGCGGCCGGGCCTTCTGCCAGTCTGCCCCCACCCTCTGGAACGAGGCACGTTTGAAGAGTATGGTCTTCAGACGCAACCTGAAGATGGGAAAGGAAGGGGGCAAGACGGAGGGATAAAGAAAGTGTTCCAGAGTTTCAATCACCATTGCTCTCTCTCTCTCTCTCTCTCTCCGCAGATGTGCATGGACGGAAAATGTCAATCTCTTTTGCATTCCAGAGTCCTCAGTACCTGCACCGCCAAATGTCCCCAACACTCGGTAAGGTCACCAACAGTTATTGCCTCCCCGGTTCCTCCGTGCGGAGGAACATAGGAGTTCTGTAGCTTAGAATCCTTAGAGCATTCGGTACAGCGACTTATCACCTCGTTGAGGCGACTCAAAGCACTTCACAGAATGTACGTAAAGTGAATTGACTGGATATTTAACCCCGGAAAGCGATCCCCCAATCGACTAACAACCGGGTTCCTACTGACAGAGGCGCGTGTGTGTGTGTGTGGGGGGGGGGGGGAGGGTGGGGGGAGGGTGGTGGTGGGGGGGAAAGTTACGACGCTTGCCCAACGTTTCCCCTGACTTGACCCGCCCGGGAATCAAACCCGTGTGTGTCAGACACCCGGCCGGTCACGGTGACGGGTTTCCGTGTGTGTCAGACACCGGCCGGTCACGGTGACGGGTTTCCGTGTGTGTCAGACACCCGGCTGGTCACGGTGACGGGTTTCCGTGTGTGTGTCAGACACCCGACCGGTCACGGTGACGGGTTTCCGTGTGTGTCAGACACCCGGCCGGTCACGGTGACGGGTTTCCGTGTGTGTCAGACACCCGACCGGTCACGGTGACGGGTTTCCGTGTGTGTCAGACACCCGACCGGTCACGGTGACGGGTTTCCGTGTGTGTCAGACACCCGGCTGGTCACGGTGACGGGTTTCCGTGCGTGTCAGACACCCGGCCGGTCACGGTGACGGGTTTCCGTGCGTGTCGGACACCCGCCTGGTCACCGGGTGAAACCAGCGTCTGTGTGGGTAACTGACTTTGTGGACTGTTTGTCTTACAGACTTGTAATCACCTTCAGCGTTGTCAGTGTGAGGAGGGCTGGTCTCCTCCCAACTGCGAGGCCGTCAGGAATACCTTGAACTTTGCCATAGGTAACAATCCCCCCTCCACCCCAAGTGCTTTCCCCCCCAACCCCATTGCTCTCTCTCTCTCTCTCCCCCACACCAGCTCGCTCACCCCCAGCACTCTCTCTCTCTCTCTCTCCCCAGCGCTCTCTCTCTCTCTCTCTCTCCCCAGCGCTCTCTCTCTCTCTCTCTCTCCTACCAGCGCAATCTCTCCTCCCTAACACACTCTCTCTCCACACCCACCCCCCAGCCCCCGCGCGCTCTCTCTCTCTCCCCCCCCCAGTGCTCTCTCTCTCTCTCCCCCAGTGCTCTCCCTCTTTCTCTCTCCTCCCATCTCTCTCTCCCCCCACAGCGCGCTCTCTCTCTCTCTCTCCCCCCGCGCTCTCCTTCTTTCCTTCTCCTCCCATCTCTCTCTCACTCCCGCGCTCTCTCTCCCTCTCCCTCTTTCTCTCCCCCCCCAGCTCTCTCTCCTCTCCTCCCCACCGCACTCTCTCTCTCTCTTTCTCCCCCCCCCAGCTCTTTTTCCCTCTCTCTCTCTCTCTCTCTCTCTCTTCCCCCAGCACGTTGTCTCTCCCTCCCACCGGCCCGTAAACCCTCTCTGGTGTTTGCCCACAGTTTCCGTGGTCGTGATCGCAGTGATAGCGTTGGTGGCTGTTGTTGGGATTTTTCTGTACAAGCGGCGGAAGAGCACGTCAGCTCCCAGGTAACCAGACACTGGGGGGGGAGTTGGGTGTGGGGTGGGGGGAGAGGGGCTGGGGGATGAGTTCCTGTAGCTCAATGGTTAGAGCACTCGCCTCGCAAGCGAAAGGACCTCTGTTTACCCAGCGGGAACCCGTTGTTACTCAATTGGCGGACCGCTTTCCGGGGGTAATAATCCCTTGGGAAGGGTCCTGGCGGGGGGGGGGAGGGGGGGGTGAAGGGGATTTCGAGATCTTGGTGGGTGTATGTGTGGGGGGGTGGGGGGGGGTTGGTGTGCGGGGATGTTTCTGGCTTGCAAGTGGACAAAATCCTGTGTCTGAGAGCGAGACTAACCCCCTCCCCTTCCCCAATTCCCCCCCAGACCTCAGGTGACCCAGGACATTGGGGTCACAAACCCCGCATTCCTCCCTGGGACCCCACAGTTGCCCAGAGGTCACAATCCCCACCAGGTAAGTCTTTGCATCGCTCTCACCAGCCTTTGCCTGGCTCGTCAGCTCGTGCTCTCATAAGAACCTGTAGCTCAGGGGTTCGAGCCCTCGCCTCGCGAGCGAGAGGACCCGGGTTCGATTCCCGGGCGGGTCAGGTCGGGGCGAAACGTTGGGCAAGTTTCCTTACTCCCCCCCACCCCTCACACACACACACACACACACGCCTCTGTTTACCGGCAGTCAGAGGGAACCCGGTTGTTAGTCGATTGGCGGATCACATTCCGGGGTGGTAAACCCTTCAGAAAAAAATAATAATTTGGTCACTCAACCCACGGCTGTTTGTGGGGGACGCTGCTGTGCGCAATCGGCTGCCGCGTTTCGCCCACAAAATACACAGTCACTACACTTTACAGTGTATCCCATGAAGCACTTCTCAAAGACATGATAAGGCGCTGTGTCAAATGGGAGAGTTATTCTAACCCTCAGCTAAACATTCTCTGGTGGGTTAGAGGGGAAGGGGTGTGGGGGTGAAGGGTATAACTACCTAATGTCTCTCTGTTCTCTCCAGATTCAGGTACCGCGGACTGCTCCCCCACCGCCTCCCAATAAAGCTCCCAAACCGTACCCCATGGTTCCGGTAAGTCTTCACCCCACTCCACCCCTCCCCCCGAGCTGGGGGTTGGGATCAGGAGGGGGTGGAGGGCAGGGAGGATAGGGGTAAGAGGGTGACCGAAGCCACAGCCAAAGAAGAGGGGGGTCTTGAAGGAGGCAAGGGAGGAGGCGAGGCAAAGGGATTGTGGGATGGGATTCCAGAGGGTTGGGGGCAGAGAGACTGAAGGCCCAACCTCCAATGGTGGGGCGGGCAAAGCGGGGGACATGGAGAAGGCTGGAGCCCGTTGAACGGAGGGAACGGACAGGTCTATATGGAGTTAGCAGGTCACAGAAGCAGGGAGGAACAAGGCCAAGAAGGGTTACTCAGGCAAGACAGTCACTACACTTCACATTGAACCCTGTGAAGGCTCCTTGTATCGGATGTAAAGATTAGTATTTTTACAATTGTTGTTGTTGATTATTCTGTGCGTCTTCACCAATATATCTGCTGTTCTCTCTCTTGTAGGCAAACCAAAGGCAGATGCCACCACAGATGCCACCACAGATGCCACCACAGATGCCACCACAGAAGCCAATGGCACCCCCTAAGGTACGTGGGCTTTGTGATTTCTTTAGTTGTTCCGCTGTGCGGAACCTTTGGTGGTGGGGGGTGGGTGGGGTGGGGGAGTGTCAATAGTGAAATCAAGGAGCACTGGGGCCATTGGCAGAGAGCTGTGGGCACTTTGCCTTCCTAACCCCCTACCAACCTGCCCGCTCCCTCCGCTCAGCGGGCTCCGGACTGCTTCACGTCCCCCGCCTCGCTCGCCCCACCACTGGCGGGCGGGCGGACCTTCAACCTCTCTACCCCCACCCTCTGGAACTCCATCCCATGTCATGTCCCCCAAATATATTCTGCATTGTCCCCAGATATTATTTCCTAGCAGAAATCTGTCTCATTTGTTCCTGAAACAACATCTGTCTCCCTCGGGAGCCCGTTCGATAGGTTTACCGCTCGCTCACCAAAGTAGTGTTCCCGTAGAATTTGTTCTGAATTTACCGCCCCCCCCCCCAACCCCCCCTCCTTCAATCGCAGGTCGTGTCCTCTGGTTCTACTGTTCGTCACAAGATAAGACAGCTTATCAGGGTCAACATTATCTAGTCGATTGACGTAGAGATTTATATGTCATCGGAAAGGTCTTGCAGTGGGAGTGTCATGGGCACATTTTTGTGGGGGTTGAGGAGGAATCTCCTATCGTTGTCGAGCTGTGACCTGAACAAGCTCAGCTCAGTTTTGCTTAAGGCGTACACTCAATGTTTATGGCATGTTAAACGGCTCGTGAGTGGGTATGACAAGTGAATCATGAAGCTGAAATGTTTTTTTTCCCCCCCCCCTCAGATCCTGATGCCTCGGAACAAGCAATTGTATTGAAACCATCTCTGCCATTAATACCCCTCCCGCCTCACCACAGGTCATAGCCTCAGAGAATTATACAGCACAGAAGGAGGCCATTGGGTCCATCGTGTCCGGCCCGGCTCTTTGAAAAGAGTTTCCAATTCAACCCCACTCCCCGCTCTCTCCCCGTAGCCCTGATCAACCCCACTCCCCCGCTCTCTCCCCATAGCCCTGATCAACCCCACTCCCCCGCTCTCTCCCCATAGCCCTGATCAACCCCACTCCCCCGCTCTCTCCCCGTAGCCCTGATCAACCCCACTCCCCCGCTCTCTCCCCATAGCCCTGATCAACCCCACTCCCCCGCGCTCTCCCCATAGCCCTGCAAATTTCTCCCGCTCCCCACCCCCCCCACCCAAATAATTATCTGCTTCTCTCTTGAAAGTTGTTATCGAATCGGCTTCTACCACCCCTTCAGGCGATGCATTCCAGATCCCAACAGCTCGCTGTACGAAAACATTTCTCCTCCCCTCCCCTCTGGTTGTTTCGATAACGATCTTAAATCCGTGTCCTCTGATCCTCTCACTCGGTCTCAGATATCTACGTCTTATTTTTCTAGGCGGGTGGGGGGGGGGGGGGGGCGGAGGGGGAGGTTGAACTATCATTTCAAGTGTGTAAATTCTCCGAGACGCTACCGTGCAAAGGGCGCGATGTGTGAGAGCGCGAGTTACGGTTGCCCGCAAAATACTGGATTGGCGGATTGCTTTTCTGGGAAGTAATAATCTCTCCCCCCCCCCATCAGAAATAATAATAACAATACGGTCACTCGATCCACGACGGCTTTTGCGCCGCTGTGAGCAATTGGCCGCCTCGCCGCCTTTCGCCCGCAAAACGCACTTTACGGTCTGTCCTGCGAAGCGCTTTGAGACGTCTCGAGGACGCGACGAGGCGCCGGGTCACATTATGGTCGTTCTTTTCACCGCCGACGTCAAGTTGCTTTTTTCTTTAACAGAGCCCCAGTGCCTCCAGCACTTTTCCTGACAAAACCGGTTCCCTTCGTTGATTCCCGCCCTCGTTGACAGAACATTTTTGCGCAGTGAGAAGGACGTGTGTGAACACCTCAATACCTCTGGGGTCTCTCCCTGTGTGGATCTCTCAATAAAGATAACAATTTTATGGTATGTGGGTAAAAGCATCCAAACTCCCTCCCACCCCCCCGCCCGCCCCACTCACGCCCACCCCCATCTCTCTCTCTCTCTCTCTCTCTCTCTCTCAATAACTTGCGCCCTTCAGGTGGGATAGTGTCCCCTCTCTATTCTCTTTCGTTCTCCTCCGCTTTTTCTCTCTCGCTCCTCTCTCTCGTTCTCTCTCTCCGCGCTCTCTCTCTCTCTTCGCTCTCTCGCTCTCTTCTTTCTTTCTCTCTCTCTCTCGCTGTCTCCACAACAACAACAACACCCTCGACGAGGGGTAGCTTCCCAGAGCATGGGATAGAGTCTCTCCTATCTCTCCCTTCTCTCTCTCTCTCCTCTCCCTCGACTCTCTCTTTCTCTCTCTCCTCACAGCTGTCCTCGGGACCAAATACCGTGTAAACCGGGTGCGTAGTATTTAAGATGTGGTCACTCAATCCACGGCGGTTTGTGGGGACGCTGCTGTGCGCAATTGGCTGCCGCGTTTCGCCCACAAAACACACAGCCACTACACTTTACATACAGCGTATACTGGGAAGCGCTTTGAGGCTTCTCGAAGACGTGATAAGGCGCCGGGTCAAACGGGAGTATTATTATTATGTGTAAACCGTGTGCAAATACAGGGGGCGAGTCTGCAAGATGTGTAAGGAAGCAGCTTTGCTCCAGGGAGACAGGCCAACCGACCTCAATGATTCCCCCCGTGAAGACGGGGGGGGGGGGGTGGGGGGTTGTGGGTGGGGTGGGGGGAGGTCGGGGGAGTTGGGGTGACACTGCATCAGTCTGGCCTTGTTTACACGCTCTCCGACCTGCTTACTCCCCGACCTAACTATCCGCTGCCTCCGCTCAACCAGCTCCGGCCTCCTGCTTGTCCCCTCGTCCTGACCGTTCCGTCATCGGCGGCCGCGCTTTCAGCCATTACCCCCCCCCCCCGAAACTCTGTCACTCTCTCCCTCTCTCCGCCTCGCCCCCTTCCATCCCCACCTTCAGGTCGCGCTTGAAGACCTTCCTCTTCGACCAGTGCCTAGGGTCACCTTCCCCCCCCGGCTCGGGGTCGTGCTCCGCCATTGTGAAGCGCTCTGGGGCGCTAATTTACTTGGGGGTGAGGGGGTGGGGTTGCGGGGGGGGTGCCATGCAAATGCAAGTTGTTGTCATTGAAAAGAGCTTTGAAGCAGTGAATCCGCGCAAGACATCTGCGTGGCCATAAGATGGCGCCAGGAGCTTGACTTCCAAGGCGGTCTCTCAACTGAACCGTGCGTTCATAATCACAATAATAATAATAATAATCCTTCCATTTGGTACAGCGCCTCATCACGTGCTCGAGAGATGTCTCAGAGCGCTTCTCGGGCCATCGCTGCCCAGTGTAGTGACTGTTCTTTACAGGCTTGGGGGCCCAAGGTGACAATGAGACTCAAAACACATTAATTCATTCATTCATTCGTTGATGCATCCGTCCATCCCAAATTCATTCATTCCCTCCCTCCCTCCCCCCCTCCCTCCCTCCCTCCCTCCCCCCTCCCTCCCTCCCTCCCTCCCTCGCCTCCTTCAAGGCACATCTCAAGATCCTCCTCTTCGACCAACCGCGCCTTCGATCACCCTCCTACCCCCCACCTTCCACCACTCTCCACCCCCTCCTGATCCCAACCCCCAGCTCGGGGCCAAACCCCTGACTGTCCAACGCCTCGGGACGTCCTCCTGACCTGTAAAAGTCATGTGTTGTTGTTGTTGTTCATTGAACCATGTCGTTTGATCGTTGCCTTCAACTGAGCGCTCTTGTCCCCCCATGTAAGGGAAGGAGAGAGTCACAAGGACTTCATACCCTCACACCTCCCTACCTCTCCCACCTGCTCATCCCCCCCCCCTCCTCCCTCGCCCCCTCCCGCTCCACCATCAGGGGCCATACCTTCAGCCACTGCGCCCCAAAACTCTGTCACTCTCTTCCTCGCCCCCTACCTCCCTCCCTCCGCCCCTTCAAATCCCACCCAAAGACCTTCCTTTTTGGATCGTGCTTACGGTCACTTCCCCCCTCCTTCCCTCTCCCCCCCGCCCTGGCTCGGGGTCAGACTCCACCGCTGTCCAGCCACCCCCACCCCAGGGACGCTACCCCAGGTGAAGAGCGTTGTGTAAATGCAACTTATCGTTGGTGTTCCCAAGGGTGGAGACAATGTCTAGGAGGAGCCATCAGATGGTGCTAGTGGGCTGGGGGCGAGAGAGAGAGAGAGAGAGAGAGAGACCGAGGCTGATGTGATCTCTCCTACTTCCCGGGATTCCCAATGGAGCTCTCTACTCTCACCCCATTCCCTGCTCTCTCTCTCTCTCCCCATCGTGTCTGTGCTGGGGCTCGCTCCCCCACTGGAGCTCTCTACTCTCACCCCGTTCCCTACTCTCTCTCTCTCTCTCTCTCTCTCCCCATCGTGTATGTGCTGGGGCTCACTCCCCTACTGGAGCTCTCTACTCTAACCCCATTCCCTACTCTCTCTCTCTCTCCCCATCATGTCTGTGCTGGGGCTCGCTCCCCTACAGGAGCTCTCTACTCTAACCCCATTCCCTACTCTCTCTCTCTCTCTCTCTCTCTCTCTCTACTCTAACCCCATTCCCTACTCTCTCTCTCTCTCTCTCCCAGTCGTGTCTGTGCTGGCGCTCGCTCCCCTACAGGAGCTCTCTACTCTCGCCCCATTCCCTGCTCTGACCTTGAGAAGCCCTGTGCCTTTGCCCGTCTCCGCAGAAATGCTCTGGAGCATTCAGTCCGAGCCGGGAGGGTTAACATGGCCAAGGACTCCTGCTTGCGGTTTGCGACAGAAAATACAACTCTATTCCAGGAAAATAAATTCAATAAACGGGGGTAAATGGATATAGTGTGGCCGGGAGGAACGTGTCTGTCTCTGGTTCCCCCCGGGGAGCACATTCACCCTCTAAAACTAGCCGCTGATCACAGTGCGTAAGAACATAGTCCTCTCTCAAAACACGCCTTGCTCCCGCCACACTGTCGCTCTCTACTCTACTCCTCTTCTCCCCCTCCCCAATCTCTCTCTCTCTCCCCCTTCTCATGCTAAAGCTTGCGCCCCCCCCACTCTGTCACTCTCTACTCTACTCCCGATCTCCCCCCACCACCACCCCCCACCCCCCTCTCTCTCTCTCTCGTGTCCATGCTAATGCTCGCATCCCCCACACTGTCGCTCTCTACTCTAACCCCATTCCCTGCTCTCGCTCTCCCCCTCATCGTGTCTGTGCTGGTGTTTGTTTCTCCCCCTCCACTGGACTCTATGCTTTACTCCCATTCCTCTCTCTCCCCCCACCGCACCCTACTCCCCCCTCCCCCCACCCTCATACTGGGGCTTTCTCCTCTCATCCCATTTCCCTGTTCTTTTCCCACACTGGAGCTCTCTAATCCCGTTCCTCTCTCTCTCTCTCCCCATTGCATGAATGCTGATGCCCATTCAGAGGGAGTGAGTGAGGAAGTGAGGGAGTGAGGGAGGGAGCGAGCGAGGGAGTGAGTCAATGGGTGAGTGAGGGAGGGTGCCAGTCAGGGAGTGAGTGAGTGAGTGAGTGAGTGAGTGAATGAGTGAGGGAGGGAGGGAGGGAGGGAGGGAGTAAGTGAGTGAGTGAATGAGTGAGTGAGGGAGGGAGGGAGGAAGCGAGTGAGGGAGGGAGGGAGCGAGCAAGCGAGTCAATGAACGAGACAAGGTGATGGATGACGGAGTGGGCGAAGAGAGCTGTGCGGCTGATCAGACGCCTTTGTTCAGACAGTGGGGACAGGACGGGAAGGATGTCAGCCTGAGACTGGCCTCTGACCCCCTTCCCCAGCCGCCCCATTAAAGCCAGAGCTCCCCTCCCCCACTCCCCCACTCCCCCAGCCCTCCCCCACACCCCCCTCCCCACCCCAATCTATCCCCTGTAGCCTGGCCCCATCCGTACCCCACAGCTGCCCTGCCCTCACTAATGGAGCCGTGCGTATTTCTCTCCTGCGGCTCATCAATAAACTGATCGCTGCACTGAGCTGAGTTAATGTGAGCACCAACGGCCTTCCCATAGCCCCCCCAACCCACTCCCCCACACCCCCCCTCTCTCCATCTCACACTCTCTCCGGCCTCCTGCTTGCCCCCCTCGTGCCCTTCGTTCCACCATAGACGGCCGCACTTTTAGCCACTGCGCCCCCAAGCTCTCTCCCTCCCCCCACAATCCCTCCGCTTGGCCCCCTTTCCTTCCCCGTCTTTGGATTGTGCCTGAAGACCTTCCTCTTCGACCGACCATGGGCTACGGTCACCTCCCCTCTTCCCCCCCCCCCCCCTCCCCCCGTATTCAAACACTCTGGGACACTATCCTGCGTGAGGGGGCACTTTCCTCTTCTATCCCCCTCTATCCCTGCTGTCCTGAGGGAATAACACGCTCCCTCCCTCCCTCCTCACTCACTCTCTCCCTCCCACCTCACTCCCTCCCTTCCTCCCTCCTCCCCCCACTCACTCACTCTCTCCCTCCCTCCCTCCCCCCTCACTCACTCTCTACCTCACTCTCTACCTCCCTCCCTTCCCCTTCACTCACTCTCTCCCTCCCTCCCTCCCCCCTCACTCACTCTCTACCTCACTCTCTACCTCCCTCCCTTCCCCTTCACTCACTCTCTCCCTCCCTCCCTCCTTCCTCACTCACTCTCTCCCTCCCTCCCTCCCCATCACTCTCTCCCTCCCCCTCTCTCTCACTCTCTCCCTCTCTCCCTCCCTCCCTCCTCACTCACTCCCTCCCTCCCTCAATCACTTCCTTCACTCCCCTCCTCGCTAACCATTCCCGCCCCCCCACCTCCACACCCTCAAAGCATCAGTGTACCTCCCTCACCCCCTGAAGTTCTGGCAGGTTCCCCCCTGCCTCCCTTGGTCCACTCTCGCCTGCCCTCCCCCTACCCTCTGCCCCTAACTGGGCGGAGGGCTGAGTGGGGCGTTGGGGGGGGGGGCGATCAGCAGAGATGAGGTCAGCACCAGTCAGGCAATTCTCCGCAGGCAATTCTC